CTCCTTCCCGGCTCTCCCAGGAAGCCTGACTGTGAAAGGACAATGTCGTGTGCCTCCACCAGGACACTCACACATTTTCTCTTTCCACTGGTGCTTTCTCTCCCACACATTTTCCTGAGCATGTTCTTGAGGACATTAGGACAGACCTAAGCCTTCAACAGCTGCAATTAGAATAACCCCTTTCACGGTGGAAATGCTCTTACAGATGCCAGCTCTGTGCCAGAGGTGCCCATGGGCTGTCCCTGCCTGTGGTAACATCACAGCCACACCACAGGACAAGGACCAAGTTGCCAGAGCCCTCAGACCTTACCCCAGAACAGGGGATCTGGAGGAGAGGGTGGGAGTGGAGAGAGCAGCTCTGGAGACATTAAGAGCTGGTGCTCCCTGGCTGTTCTGCCGTGCTGGGACTCTCTTCCCCTTCCCCTCAGCACAAAGGATCAGTCAGAAACAAAGAAGGAGACACTGAACTAGGAAGGGCATAAAAATGATATTAAATGTAAGAAAACATCATCAACAACAAAAATAACAGTAGAGAGGCTGGGGATGCACTGAGTTACACTATAAATTACTTGAAGAAGAAAACAGGCAATTTATTGCTTTACAATAACTAAAATTCATAAATTTCCTGAGAGCATCCTTGAGCTCCTGGTTCCTCAGGCTGTAGATGAGGAGGTTCACTGCTGGAGGCACCACCGAGTACAGAACTGACACCTGCAGATCCAAGAATGGGGAAGACATGGAGGAGGGCTTCAGGTTGGCAAAGATGGGAGTGCTGAGAAACAGGGAGACATCAGCCAGGTGAGGGAGGCATGTGGAGAAAGCTTTGTGCGGTCCCTGCTGTGAGGGAATCATCAGCACAGCCCTGAAGATCCCAACATAGGACACCACCATGAGAACAAAACACCCAAATGTTAAACAGCTACAAAGCACAAGAAGCCCAACTTCCCTGAGGTAGTCTGAGAGTGAGCAGGAGAGCTTGAGGATGTGTGGGATTTCACAGAAGAACTGTCCCACAGCATTGCCCTGGCAGAGGGGCACTGAAAATGTATTGATTGTGTGCGGGAGAGCACAGAGAAATGCACTGGCCCAGGCAGCTGCTGCCATGTGGGCACAAGCTCTGCTGCCCAGGAGGGTCCCATAGTGCAGGGGTTGGCAGATGGCCACATAGCGGTCATAGGCCATGACAATGAGAACAGAATACTCTGCTGATATCAAGAGGAGAAAGAAAAAGAGCTGGGCGGCACATCCTGAGTAGGAGATGCTCCTGTTGTCCCAGAGGAAACTGGCCATGGCTTTGGGGACGGTGGTGGAGATGGAGTTCTGATCGAGAACAGAGAGGTTGAGGAGGAAGAAGTACATGGGGGTGTGGAGGTGGTGGTACCAGGCGATAGTGGTAATGATGAGGCTGTTGCCCAGGAGGGCAGCCAGGTGGATGGCCAGGAAGAGCCAGAAGTGCGAAAGCTGCAGCTGCCGCGTGTCTGCGAACTGGCTGATGGAGCTGCTGTTGGACATTTACTCCCTCTGGCCTTTGGGGACTGTTGAAAGAGAATACATTGACAAGTTTGGGCAAATGTCTTTGTTCCCATCTTCTGCTCTTTTCCAAAATCTCTCCAAAAGTTACTGTCTTTGTCTAGGGAAATACTGATCAACTCCAGTTTGCAATATCTGTCTTGCTCTGCTGAGTAAAGCAACCTTCTGAGAAGGACATGAAATCGTCATCTGTCATATTGTTCTCCACCAGGGCACTTCAGGAGCCTTGAAAGACAGCAGGGCTCCCCGTGCCCTAGTGCAGGCTCAAGAGAGCTGCTCTGCCCATTACTAATCTCCTGCTCACCATGCAGGTACCCTGGGCTTATTTCACCCTACACCATTTTATTATGATCTTAATAACTATGCACTTGAAGAAGTAAATAGATTTTTATGAGCTTAGAGAAATCCAGTTTCAAGGTCCATCTCTCCAATCTCTTCTCTTTCCCCTGTGCAGCTGAGTAGCGAGACATACAGAGCTGTCATCTGCCTCTCTGCTGCCTGGAGCGGTCCCTGCCAGGAGATGCTCCTCTTTTCCCAGCTCTTCCCCCTGTCCCTCTTGCCAGAGCCCGTGCCCACTGCTGGGGGCTCAGCTCTGCCCTGCAGACATCTCCTGGCAGCAGCCAGACCATTCCCAGGGGCATCCCTAGGGTGGGCAGGGACTTAGACTCAGCTGCGACAAGTGCTCACGAGAACTAGGACCTTTTCCACAGTGGAGAAAAAAATTCCATTTCCTCTTGTCAACCAGTCCACCAAGAGGGGAAAACTCAAAGGACAAATCACTCAATGTACTTCGTAAACTATACTCCCCTCAATGTACTTCTTTTCTGCTGCCTGGACATATTTCTTCAACATGAACCGCTGTCAATGTCCTGGGTAGGATCAGACCCATCCTGGCAACAGCAGGCCCTTTCCATGGGCAGCTCTGGGAGAACATTGGCATGGGAGCAACTCAGAAAAATGCTGAGGAGAACTGGTGTCTTGCTGACTGTCAAGAACAGAGAAAGAAATTCCTATTTCCCCTCCCCACCCTGTCAAATCCAGTGGTAAACGGAAAACAGATTCGTTTCAGGTCAAAGCTGCTCTGCTGTCCTTCTTCAAAGGGAATCTCTGCATTTGATGTGGGGGTGATCTTGGGTTCTAAGCATCCCTGCATCACCCTGCAGGTCCTCAAGAGCAGAAACACCATTCCTTCTCTGCCAGGGTCCCACCTGCATCCCATAGCTTCTCCCCTAGGGCCGTGGGGAGCTCCCCGGGCAGACTGAGTGCTGACCCTGGCAGGCGGCAGAGTCCCTGCCCCAGTACACAGCCCCTGGCACTGTGCAGGGACCCTGCTCCCCAGG